CACTTTCAGATGCTGGGAATCATGACAACTACTATGGCAGACGACTTCGGACTAGGTGCGTTCTACATGGCTCCCTGAAAACAAGACCAAGTTTATGAGGAGCTCACTTTTTTTCTTTACTATATTAGGGGATACTGCTTCACAAAAGTTTTTATAGTTTAATCCCATATGAAAAGTAGAGCAAATTTATGTTGTTTGAGGTGAGGCAAGGATTGATCTTTTATTTTTTCACAATATAGATGTAGAAATTGTCTCAATCTTATTGAATTCTACTGCCTCTGCTCCAGAGTATAATGAAGTTTGGACCTTACGTAGGCCTCATCAATACCTAAATGTTTGCGAACCGTTCTATTATGGTTACTATAATGCTTATAGAGAGATCTCTCATAGTATCGAAAAGTATTTATTTGGAATGTGCCACTGGTTGAAAATACTAATTTGCGTTATCAATAAAAGTTTAAATTATAATCGTGAAGTGGTAATGCCGCCATGTTACTCATGACCCTCTCTCTAATCTATCTGGGAAGCAGAAGAGACCTAGGCGAGGTTCAAACTGGATTAGGTAGCCATTTTGGAGGCAAGGCCAAGTGAAATTCAATGGCAGTGTGAGGCTTTCTTATCTCATTGGAGAGAAACTCAACTTCCGTTTCTTAACTCACCTTAAGCGACCTAGGATAACTAACCTCTTATCCAAAAACTACTGATAAACTCAAAGACTACTCGCATCGAAAATACACATTTAATCTAGACTTGGAAACCAAAGTGCAAACATAAACTTATGCTTTTCGTTTTTTTATTATAAGAAAATTTAACTATTGGCCTTCTTGCTTTCAGGCTTGTTTAGATTTCCAGGAAGTGTCGTTTGTTTTGACTGATCCGATCGACTCACCTGAGCTCGAATTTGGTGACAGTCAGAACTTCACTGTTGCAGGACGTGTTACCGAAGTACCTGGGACTGGCGTCTCGGTACTTTGTAGCCTGCCACAGACAGCGAAGCGTCGAAAGCAACTACGTGGCCATCTGAGACGAGTCTGTTCGCTCCTCCCAAATAGCTTAGATCATTCTACCGGGACAGTCTTCATTAGAGCTCGCCTCTGCATCCGACCTACCAGTACCTCAGTCGTTGACGCCATCCATCTTACTGACTGGCTGCGCGTCCGCATACGATTCCTCAAAGAAATGGCAGAGGCGCTGCCTGGTGCCCAGGCAACTGGCCTGCTTTTCGATAGGCAAACTGCCGTTGCGCTACGTTGTGCACTGAATACCAAAATCTCTCGAGTCTTTGGCAAGCTGTCTGGTAGCTCCGTAACGCAGACTGTTGACTTGCTAGACTGTCGTCTCGAACAGGCTGTCGAAGCCAGTGGAGGAGACGGAATCGGCCAGACAATGGATATAACGGGCCCCGTGAACCAAGTAACTTGGAGTTTGATTTTTTCCTCTGGTTTGAGCAGCAATGTAAATGCTTTGGTTACCTCGTTAAGCTTGCTTTCGGGTGGCTGGGATCTTGTATCCTCAGATGACGCCACCACAGCGCCGGCTATCTCAGCCTCTTCTTCCTGTAGTGGTGGGCCAAACAGGTCGACAGCACTTAGTGTTGCAGGCTACGTCGATGTGCTTGGCATCTCTACTTGTTTGTTCGACCTTGTTTCGCCCCCTTTTTCCTTCAGTTCTTCTTCAGAATCTTAGAAACAGTTGTTATTTTTTACTTAGTGATGGTACGTTTTACATATTTTATGCAACCCTACTTTCTTCTCTTCCCCGTTCACCTTTGATCTATTTGGTCTCTGCCTTGAAGGCTGCGCCTCAAAGCTGTTTTCCGCATTCTTAATCTAACTGCAATTATTTTATTATTGCTCTACTCCATCTTAGTCTCTTGTATCTCTTCCCTGCAATCTTTCCTTACCTAAGGGAAATCTGCTATTTTGTTAACTGTTTCATTCCAAATTTTCTTTTATTCTTTGTCTGTAGGATTGAATAGGACTAATAAACCGTTGGTCTGTCCCGTCTACCTCAACTCTTCAATTAACTTGAATCCTTCAATCTTTTATGCCCCTTTGCAAATAATTACTATCTCTTTCTTTTTTTAATTATTCTCTTAATTAACCTAGATATTCCTACTTAGCAACAACGTAATCTATGTTAACGGCTTGAACTAAGGCTTATTGATACCTGAATAAATTGGTAACCTCGTTGAATTTTCGTACATAATCTATTAATGTATTTTGAGAAGGAAACCAAGGGCATTAGGCAAGGTTTCTCGGTTGATAATCATAGAAGAGTGTATTTAGCATTATTTCATTGGATCGCTTTAATTATTTTTTTTCATGCGGATGGGATGAATTTTTTTAGATGTTTCAGTAATTAGGATTAGAACTGAGGGAAGATTAGGAGCATTATTCACCATTTTAGCACAACTTGCGAGCTTTATTTATTCTTATTTTCCCTATGTGACTTTGTCTGCAGTCAATGACCTTTTTATACCCAGACAGTCAACTAACATAATACCAAAATTCGCATTTCTGTGCTTCCTCCATAAACGCCTTCTAGAATTGTAACACACCTCCAATTAAGACTTATATTTCTAATTTATTGTTTTAGCAGACAATAAAATCGTGCAACTAGTTTGCCATGACCCCTTACTTTGGTCCTACGATCAAGAATACTTGCCCTAGCTGCACTCTCTCCATCCCTTTAGCTCTCACTTCCTTCCTAATTGCCCACTTATAGCCTGACACAAGTGTGTTGAGGCATTTTCTTGGCCA